GCTGTTGTAAGATGTTCAGTGAAGGAAGGGGATGCCATTCTTCCCACTTAATAATTGATAGTAACTTAATAGTAAATTAATACTAAGTAGGACTGGAAAGTCTCTAATATCAGAGCCAATGTGATTCAATAAAAGTGTTCAAGTGGGAGAACATAAAAGCTTGTAGCAATATACTGGATCTGATACAGAGTTGATCAAGGAAGTTGTATTTGGTCTTGAAAATAGTATCACAAGAGAAATATCAAAATATTCAAGGAAACTTGAAGCTCAGTTTAGAAATTGATGGTCATAACGGGGGGCCCTCAAAGACTTTGTGACAGTGATTGACACTGAGATGGGATTTGGTTTTGTTGTGGCTGGCATAGAAAATGGATCACAGATACAGGCTAAAAATTCCACTGTAGCTCGTCATGAACTTGAGTCCCATGGCCTTATATCTCAGGTAAACTCCCAAATTTGAGTGGTGAGGAGAGATCTAATCTTTTTATTTGGGAGCTTTTATATATGTTATTCTTTATCACTGTGGCCAAACTGTCAGCCGAAGAGGAAGCTTCAGTTTCTCAGGACCTCAGATTCGGGAGGGAAGTGGTGGGAAATGGCTGTCAGGACAGCATCTGACACATGTGAGCTGAACATTTCTTCTGTTGGCTCAAAGCCTTAGGTTTAAACTAGGATCATTCAGGCAGCCTGCAGAGATGACCCAAACCTGGCAAGGGCCTTCTGAAAGACTGAGAAAAACCCCTTTGTTCTAGGTCTTTCAGCTCTGTGGTATGCAACAGCAGTGCATATTAATCTGCACACACTAGAATGGGAAGTCCCAAGCCCAGAGGAATAAATCCCCACCCCACTGGACCTGATTTCAACAGTCTGGCTGGTTTTAAGAGAGGCAGCAATTCCCCTGGGAAGTCTATTGCTCAGTGTCAGAAACTGAAGAATCTCAGCAAGAGGAAAATAAAACCTCTTCAGCTGAGACATTCCAAAGAAATAGAAAGTTGTGCCAAAATTATTCCCTTTTTTGCCCTGAAGATGTCATATGCAGAGCCAGTTAAACAGCAACCTAAGGTAAAGTGCATTTACAATTGCCATGTGATGGTGACTTGACTATGGTTGCTGAGAACAGTAATGTATTTAAAGCAGTATCTGTGATGGGTTAATAATTGAAACTCATAGCTGCTGTGGCAAGGACATGGTGTTCAGCCCTTTATTCATATCCAGATATATGGCTGCTAACTAGATTTTAACCAGTCTGTTTAACTGTGCCATGCTATCTCTTCTGTTAAAAGGGCAGTAATTACACATCCCAGGAAAAAGAGAAAAAACAGGTCAGTGGAACAGATTGGGGTATTTTGTTTTAACTAAAGAACAAAAAGTAATACCTTTAAATTGATCCTGAAATTGGAAAAAGATGCAGTTTGCTTGTTCAGAATGGAATTATGGATACACCTGTTGCAGAGAAGTAGAATAACCAATGGAATTGTATAATTAATTTCCTTATTAGTCTCTGCTTGAAGGAATCTTAATTAGTGCTAGAATAATAGGCCATTTCTGTCCATCGCTGTAAAGATGATAAGTTTTTCTGTCCATCTCTGTAAAGATAAGTTTTTCTGTCCAAGTAGTTATTTCATGCAGAAGAGAATCTTAGAGACTACGTGTAAAAATATCTTGATCTCTGACCTTGTTTGTTGGAGGTTATGCAACTTTTCCCAGATAATAATTTTGCTGCATTAATGAAACCCTATTGAGCAGTTGCTTAATGCTTAGCTACTGCACTGTGCATTCAAAATGGATTTCGTATGTCTTTCTCATAAAATTCAGTACAACTTTTTGCCCTGAGTCCATTCTCCTTCTCTCAAGTGAAGGTTTTAGTGCTTTGGAAATTTTTAGCTTGAGCCCAAACTAAAGAGCTTGCCTTCCCTGAATCATGGAAAAATATAATTGCATGCAGAAAACCAGTGATAAAAAGGTACGGGTGGAATTGAGCTGCTTAAAAGCAACTCTTCAGTGTCATTTAAGGTGCTTTATCTCTCCACTGGGATGGAAGAGACAATTCAGACCAAGAAAATTAATTTCTGGGTTGGTTTTGTCCAAGAATGATTTTCTATGCCTTCTACTTAAGAATCTGAAAGTCTTGTGAAAAGGTAACTATCAGTGTTTCCTACTTATTTCCTTAGAGGAAAATCATCCTGAACATTACCTTGTGAATGCGTCTACCTGTTCCTAACTACCTATCAGAGCAGCTGGCAGAAAAAGAAAAACATGCCTCTGATTTCACAGGCTGTCTGCACATGCACTCAGTCTGATGTTTTCAGTGTGTAGGATTTGAATCTTTGTGCAAGCCTTCCTGGTTAATACTGAAATGGCACAGTGGTCACTATCCAAAAAAGTAGCAGCTACCACTTAGGATCCTACTGAACAGTGGGACCATTTTTTAAATGACACCAGTTTAATACTGTTGTCTATGCCCAGCCTGCTTCCCTTGTATAGATTTAGGGATGGAACAATTTTTAAGGTCTGATTTCCCAATAACTTCTAGGGTAATAAGATGCTGAAATAAATTCCAGAGGTTCTTGAAATTTGTTTTCAATTCATGGAAGCACTTTAGCTTCACCGAACTTATTTCACACATTTAGGTTTGCCTTTTTGGGTTCATTGCTCTTAAACTTTACGTTTAGCAGGTGACTGAGTTCTTCTCTCAAAATGCATGAAAAGGTCCAGTGTGGGCATTAAAAAAAAAATAATAAAATCAGGAATCAGGAAGTTGACAGTGTCAAATGAGTCAGTAGAAAGTACAGACTCTCCTACCTCTAATCATTTTGACTGTGTATTGTTCCTGCAGATTTGAACTCATTAAAACAGCTCTGTAAGACAGCTTATTTGAGTCTTGGTTGCCACGTATAGTACAATAATAGCATTGTATTACACAAAAAACTTTTACCTTTTTTATTGTAGTGTTCATTTTGCTGTTCCTAAAACTTGAATTCAAACAATGGGATCATTCTCCTGTCTCAAATAGAAAATTGATCAGTGCAGCCTGGCTTCTGTCAATTCATATTCTATTACCAGGAGATTCTCCTGTTGCTTCCAGGTCTCTGACTTCCCCTGAGTTAGGGAAGAAAACTGTGGATAGGATTTCTAGTTGTGGATAGCAAACATTTAGTGTTCTCTAACACTCTTAAGAAAATTCTGTTGCATGCTGGGTATAGGTGCCTGCTCTGGCTGGGTTTTTTCCTGTTTGTTTTTTTTTTGTTTTTTTTTTGGTGGTTGGGGGGGGTGGGGGTGTATTTGTTTTTTCTGTTTATTTAGGGTTTCTTTAATTAAGGAATAGTTACTTATTTGCAAAATTTTGCTGGACTTGAATGCAGTGAATGTATGAACTGAGTGGCTGCTGAAAACACATTGCTTAAAGCAAGCTGTTAATATTTGACTCCAGCAGAAATGACAGCAGGCATACTGGGTCAGCAAAAATATATTACGAGTTGTTATCTCTGACTATGTTGATGGACAGGGTTCTGTAACGAGTCATATGGCAGTAACTGCCATTTTTAATTTAAAAATGCTCTATGGAAATAAGCTCCTCTTTTTTTTTTTTTTTTTTTTTTCCTTTCTTCTCTGGTTATTTAATTCTTCAGGTTTCTCTTCTCCTCTCCTTCTTGTTAGTACTTTATCTATTATTAAGCAAGCCTTCCTCAGAGTCACGAATTTAAAACAGCTGGTGTGACTTCATCAGTCACTCATGATATTTTTGAAGCCTTGTGATTTACAGCTATGAATAACAGCTTTTATTTTCTTGTGCTGCTTGATCTTTTTCCCACCACTTAATTTGTTACAGTTGTCTAATGATGCATTTATGTTATATGTCACAAACATATTACATTCATACAGACTCGGGCAGGAGTTCAGACTGTTGCATGAAGAAAAGGTCCATGCTTTGATTCAACAAGTAGAAAGTTATAAATTAATTCTGGTACAGTGCTTCTCAGAATTCAGTGTGACCTATGTATAATGATGTATGTCTAACCTTTTTCATTATTAAGGGCTGAGGAAGAAGAAAACAAGATCTATTGGTCTTGGGCTTAGATTCTGGAAGTTAAAGAGCAACTCGGTGAGGGATTTTTAGTTGGAACCGCAGTCTGTTCACATAAATGTTCAGTTCCAGACCTTTCAATCTAACTCGAATGGCCTTGCCCTTCTGAGAAGTTGTTTCCCACCCCTGAGTGAAAGCAAAATGACGATGGACATGAGGTATCACTAACCATAGTTCCAATGATGGCCATGACTCAGATCACATTGCATTCTTTGGCATGCTTACACTCTTAAACATGACCTCTGTAACTGACAGGTGGCAGATGGGAGTACATCTCAGAAAGTTTCCCCCCAGGGCCCTCATATATACATAGCTTTTCTTTCTTAGAGAACAGGGAGGTAGTTAACATTAAAGCACTACTGAAATTCTTGACAGTGGTTTCTACTAGGTAACCATTTCAATGACACTGCTTTACTTTGAGACTTGTGGCATTGTCCTGCAGTGTGCATTAACGCAATGTTTGTCTATACTGTTGTGGTAGGTTAATTGCTGTGGTGATTCTTCATTTTAGTGTAGACTGTATACATTTTTCAAGCAATCAATACGGTTTGCCTTTTGTATTTGTATTGTTGGGCTCTCTACATAGTCTGTTTCAAAATTATATTACATGAACTCACTTTTTCCTTTACTGTCAACAACATGGATCATTTGTAGAATCAGTAGTAAATCCTTCCCAGTCTTCAAATCAGTTTCAAAACACAGCCCTTCTCCACCAGATGTTTTTGTGTAGTAAAAAGCAGGTATGATTTATGCCTGTTTCATGTGCATAAATATATAAAAGTGTCTATATATGTCTTTATATATATCTGAGAGACACAATATGGATCTTTTCCTTTTCTTTAGTGTTGGTTTTTATTTGTTTTCAAATTTTCTGCTGAGTTATATCCATTAAGAAACTGCATCTTTCTTTTTTGGCTCAGTCCATATCTAGGCCAGCGCAAGAAAAGGATTTCCTCTTCTCTTAGTGGGCCTTTTCTCTTAGGGCCAATGAAGTTATTGCTGGGATATGCCGGTTTGAAGGTATTCAGAAACTGATGGAGGTACTTTTCCCATGCTTTACCATCAAATAGTTTGGTTACCTGTGATCAGGTGATACCAGCGTGTGAACAAGCACATTCAGTACAAAGGCAGTACTATTATTCTTCTAGGAACTGTATTTATTTCCTGCAGGTACTTCACTTGATGGGTTTTGAAAGGAACATTTGTTAAGTAAGTGCCAAAGCCAACAAAGAAGAAAAGTCATCTGTCACACAAAACAAGCACTTTTTAAAGAAGCGAGTATGTTACTGGTGTCTGTTGTACTTTAGCTTAAGGCCACCCCGTAAATCATATTTGAAAAATTAGTTATGGAGGGTTATGCATACCTGTTCCTATCAGTGCTATGAAATATTCGTTTCAATGTAGTTTCTGTTTAACTGATGTTATGGTATTAATGTGTAATTATCACATTAATCCTTTTTCAAAGTTATTTTGGGGTCTTCCTTAGTTCAGACATACTAATAATGCTCCATTATCTTGGTTTAAAACTAATTCAGACAAATACAGTATGTTGTGTTATCCCACCCATTAAAACAATGCCAAAGATTCTTATTGAGAGCATTCAGAAAATTCAAGAGACATTGATTTGTTATTCTACATCAGTTACCTTTCATGGTGAGGTTACAGACAGAACACCACTGATTTGTTTATTTAAAATGAAATTGCAATGCACAATGCATTCCTGTAAGCTCGATTTATGTGGAATATTTTCAGCTGAACACTATTCATTGAACTGTCAAGTTTTTAGAAATTTGCTAAAATATAAAAATAGCAAAGACCAAGTTTGGATTGAAATACACCACCTGTGATGAAATAGCTGGTAGAGTTTATTACAGCATGGGTATAAACAAATCTTCCAAAATATAAATTACTGTGGCTCTACTGACTAGGCAATCTGGGTTTGGTTTTTGGTTTGGTTTGGTTTTTGTTTTGTTGTTTTGGGTTTTTTTTTAAATATATCTGTACTCCTAAAATGAATGTTAAAAATCTGGAGTTGTAAATATGCTAGTAAATTAGAAACAACATTATTTATCATAAATCCATAGTAGAAAGCTGTCACTGCAGATTACAGCCAGGATGGATTTGAGCTATGACTTTTTTATCCTTTCTATTTGCTGTTTTCTGTGTCTCCTAAACTCTCTATTGGCAAGCAGGTGCAGTAAAATACCTGTGTATTGAAGTAAGTATTTCCTTCTCAGCCCTGTCCATCCTACCCAAGAAAAAGATACTGTGATGAAAATATTTGGGTGGCAAAATTACAAAAAATGCGATTTAATGCATTACCCTAATCTGTGTTCTGTGCTGTGCAGTTGAGAAGATGGCACTTTGGATTCAGGGTGATATTTCTCTTTATTAGGTTAAATGTGGCAGTGACTCAGTCCAGAATATGCAGTATTTCTGAGGGGCTTTGAAATGTGGCAGAAAAACATGCCACAGCTGCTTGGATTATTCCTTAGCACACCACACTTTGCAGCACAGTTTTGGGTTTCTGTGTGCATTTGTGAGCCAGACTCAAAGGTCAAGGCACAAGATGGATTTAATTCAGACTATTTTCTTGCTGGCCTTGGCTGCATCTGGTTGATGCGTGTTATTAGTGCAGCCACTGAGTGATTTGAAACCCAGCTGATGAGAGCTTATTTGTTATCTTTCTTTTGTCTTTCACACAGATGATTTGAGTAAACAAGGTGCAAATATTCAAGAGTTAGATGAGATCTTCTCAGAAAAGAGAGTGAGTTCAGTTTCTTCCCAGTGCTGATGCCTCTTTGCCCTTCAATGCTTTTTGTCTTCCTGCTAATCCTTTGATTCAAGAATGTATTCCCATCACTATGCAGGGCCTGAGAGATGTGTTTTCTGGCCTTTCTTGTTCCTTGGGAAGAATATGACACACTGCAGTGTTGTCTTCCTGATCCTGCAGCTGGCCTGAAAAACCGGTAGCAGAAAAGAGTGCACATGCTTAACTTTGAATTTTACTGATAACAACCAGGTGATGTTACTTCTGGCAAGCTACAAATATTTGCCTTTCCTATTGTGAGAACCATTCCTTATGGAAACTGGCTAAGATGTGAAACTTCTTGCCTTGAGCTGGAATTGTATTTAACCAGAAGTATTTTAAACCATTTTTCTCCTCCGCTTCTAACTCATGACCCAACTCATGATTACTAAATAAAAATGCATGAGAATTACCTGACTGCACTGTGATATAAAACACGGTATGGGTGATCATTTAACATGGTAGTCCAAATCAGTATTCTTCACCAGTATTGAATGTAATGATGATATTATTATCAATGACTATGTTCTGCAATGTATCACTACCTCCTGTGACAGTGAGTGGTGAGCTGAGGGAGAAACTGTAAGTGCCCTCTCTGGCAGTTCTCAGAACTGGTTATGACCTTCTTTCCTCTGCCATCGTGAAAATAAATATTGTTTTGCCTTAGACCATTTAACCGGAAGGGGGTCAGTAAATGTCACTGTTGCAAGTGACAATTCTACGATAATCAATTAATATATATATTAATGATACTGAATCATCTCCAGAGGAACTCTCCCTTTTGACTGTAGCAAAAGACTTTCTAGTCCAGAGCCTGGCAGTATTTGACCCTTCTTTTCTTTGTCCAGCCAGCATACATTTAACCGGTCTAGATGTGATGTGTTTATAAACAGTAGATAAGTAGTCTCTCCTTTGTTAAAATGGAGAGGAGCAGAAGCCTAGCTTGTCCAGATTACTAGTTTTTATTTGAAAGATTTACTCTATTTACTAGTAAGGGGGATTGCTGGCTGGCAAAGTTGATGCATGAAAGCAGCCCTTGGTGTGAAACCTGCTTGATTTGTTCTTGGCAGTGAAGACAGCCTGTGTGGGAACAAACCACCTTGCCAGTGGCTCTTTGGGAGACACTCCCCAGCGTCTCCCAGAAGAGTGAGGACACAGCTTCCACACAGCCTCTCTGCAAGCATTAGGCTTTCTCTAGCCCATCCTTCTGAGACAATGACACAGGCACTTCGGCATCTGTTTTAAAGCATAAAGCCTTTGTGTAAGAGCTCACAAAAGAATGTAGAAATCTGTGAGCCAAGAGCTGAGATCACTATGTTTGTTCAAAATAACAACACAAAAAGGCCATCTATAGGGCAATGGTGACTTAAAATATTCTTGAGCAACACAGTGTGGGAATCTGCTGGAATCAGCTTTTGGCTGCAAACATGCAGCAGCCTCCAAATGCTTGGGTACTATTCTACTAATACTGATTCAAAAGGAGCATGACCTGCAGGTTGAGGGAGGTGACTCTCCACCTCCACTCTGCTCTCATGTGACCCCACCTGCAGTCCTGCATCCAGCTCCAGAGAAGGCCATGAAGATGCTGAGAGGGCAGGAGCACCTTTCCTATGAAGAGTGGCTGAAAGAGTTGGGCTTGTTCAGCCTGGAGAAGAGAAGGCTCTAGGGGGACCTCGTAGCAGCCTTTCTGTACTTAAAGAGTACCATCAAGAAAGCTGGAGAAGGTTTTTTTTACAAGGGCGTGTAGTGACAGGACAAGGGGGAATGGTTTTAAACTGAAAGATTAGACATCAGGAAGAAGTTCTTTACTGAGTGGGTGGGGAGAAACTGGAACAGGTTGCCCAGAGAATCTCCGGGCCTGGAACTGTTCAAAGCCAGGCTGGATGAGGCTTTAAGCAACCTGGTGTTGTGGAAGTTGTCTTTGCCCATGGCAGAGGGGTTGGGTTCCTTCCAACCCAAACTATTCTATGATTCTATGGCTTTAGGCAGCTACTAATTGGTGACACACACAGGAATAATGCAGTCAGGCTGCAAAAGCCTGCCGTGATTTGAGAGACTATCTTCCAGAATTTTTTCTGTGCTCTAGAAATGATTGTCAGTAAAAACGAACTTCATTAAGCCCTTCTATTCTTGGAATTTTAGGAATGGCCTGTTTCATTTGGTTAGTCCCAGCTGCTACATGCTAACACTTCTCTGTTCTCCTTTCTTTAGTTAAAGTACCATTGAAGTTTTGGGAATTTGTTTGGGAGAGCAATAGAAACCTCTGATGCATGGGTGCTTAAGAATAGTTTGAAAAATTGGTATCAAGTACCACAATGAAAATAAGAAGCAGAAAAAAAGGGCAGTAGGTAGAGAAAAAAAGGTGGTTTTCCTTCAATTGGAGTGGTCATACCAGTTCCCATTATTCACAGGATAGTCTCCTTCAAAAGTTCAAGTGAAATAAGAAAACAAATTTCCAAGTTAATAAGATTTTTTTTCTTTCTTTTGTAAATTCTTGCTTAGGAAGGGTCATCAGTAGCAGAAAAGATTGTTTGTTGCTATAGAAATATATCCATGAGGAGTATAAAGATTGTTTGTTGCTATAGAAATATATCCATGAAGAGTAAAAAGTAGTGTTTATTACTACCTGTAACCGAATGTACGTATTGATCAAATAACGGAATTATGCTTACAAAACTGGGGCAACCAGGGTTCAGAAACCCCTGATTCCTCATGCTTTTAGATTTCCTGTATATTCTTGGATACTCTGCATATTCTTGGACACACAGCTGTTGAATTTACCACCTTTATTTTTCATGTTAAATTGAAAGAGGAAGACTATTTCTACACTTCAGCACTACCCCATGTTCCTCTTCTGAGTTCTGTTTTGTGTGACATGATGGCCTTGGCCTTGCAAGCAAACTTAGGTCCTGTTATAGTAAGGACATATCAGATCACTGAGAGTATTGAGCATAGCCTCACAAAAAAAGCCACCTTTGTGCAGTTTTTGTGATCTGAGATTCTTTGAAATAATCCTGTAAGTGGCTTGTCATTGTGGAAGTGGGAATAGTCATGGTCTGTCTCAGTCTTCTTTCAAAATGGGTTGAAGAGACTGTTATGCTGCACTTTCCTAAACTGGTACGTCTCTGAAGACCTTCATATGTCAGGGTGCAACTCTGCATGTCCCTATTAGATGGAAAAGGGCTTCACTTGAATAGTTTCATCTCCTCTCCGTATGATTCATATACAAGCTTTCAAAAACTCATTGAGTGTGTTGTATGAGGGAAAAATCTGTTGTTTTCATTCTTGCTCGAAAGCAGCATGTCGCTGAAGATAAACACTGTAAAGGGGAGCTTATACTTGTAGGGAATATGGCAGTGCAGACTCTCCCACACATAGTACTCTGCACGGATTACAGGAAAGGAGCACTTGCTGGCTTCCTGGTGTTTGCCAGGACATGCTAGTGTCAGCAAGTAACTTCAGTGCAAAAATGCACTGGAAGATGTACATAATATATCTGTAACTCAGCTTGCCAGACCCTTTAGATTCAACATGTGCTAGCATAAGTATGAGACAATTGAAGATTTTAATGTGAGGAGAGAATGGGGCAAATAAGCACACAGATTTTTATGCTAAAAGCAGACGTTGGGAATAATCAAAAGGACGATTTTTCTCAAGCAGAAAATAGTTCATAGGAAGGAGCATTGTCTATGATACACTCACATAACTTTGGACAAGGAAATTTTATTACTTTAGATTATATGGACCAAGTAAGGACAACAAAAAAATGGGTCTCACCAAGTGTGTCATCTTCTTAATTTAGAATGTGTGGTAAAAGGGCATGTTTATGTATGAAATATACACATGGGACCTGCAAGGCTGCCTGCATGTTAGGGCAGATGCAAGTTTTGAGTGGAAAACTCAATTTTTTCAACGCAGCTATTTCTGAAAATGGTCCCAATAGCTTAACAATGCTTAAAACCAAGACTGGATGGATGTCTTACTGCTCCGAGCTATTTCACACCATTGTATCTTTCCCTCCTGCATTTTTTATTCACATGGAATATGAGTTCATTAAGATACCTGTACCTTGGTGATCCAAGGCTATTTAAATGTCATTATGTTAAAAAAAAAAAAAATCTATTGGATGCTCATCTGAAAACATTTTAAGGTGATATATATATACATGTCTATGTCTATATAGCTGTAGGTAGATAGGTAGGTAGATAGATGGATAGATACATACATACATACATAGACAGACCATGTGCACCAGACAATGCAGTCTGCTGGGTCTTTTAAATACACTTTAAAATGTGAATCAGGGGTAGATCCACAAGTAAGTCCATGGAAATGAATGCAGAAAATCTCGATTTCTGCTGGGATGACTCAAATGCAAGAGATTTTCCTGCAGATTATATTGCAGCAACAGTTGCTTGTAGATTTACTTGATCTTAATGAACCTTTTGGCTAATTCTGTCTCGACAATTTTATACAAAACCTTTAAAAAAGCCGTGAAGGTAGGCAGGAGGTGCTGCAGGAAGATTTTCCAGCTCTCACTAGCATAAGTACTAGCTTAGTGAAAATGGAAGCATTTTTCAGAATAGGTTGTGCTCAGGAAAAAAACTGTTAAGATATGTAAAAGAAGAAGATATATGGATTGGTCTGAAAAATAATAATACCTTAAGAACATGGGCTTGGTGAATAAATGGGATTGAAGAAAATATTTGGTTTTCATTTCTCACATGAGTTTGTTTTGGTTTCTTTTCATTTTGTCTTTGCTTTTGAAGTCCACTTAGGACTTTTTCAGATTTACTATAGAAAGCTGACATATGTTCCATAAGATGATCTGGTGTTACTTAAATTGAAACATTACTTGTAAACATTCACAAAAAAAAATACTTCAGTGGGAAGAATAAGGCTTAATACTGTGCTTTTATGGCAGGCTTTACTAATCGTGCACAAGGTATTTGTCACTGGAACCAAGTTTCCAAGGGAACAGAACCAAAATGAATGATGGGATGCAAAACTGGGAGGTATTTTTAAGAATGTAAATGAAAGGAGAACTAGGTAATTTAAAAAAATTCTTTCAATGAATTTAAAGTTATTAAGAGCAACTCTGTTATTTACGGGGAATCAGGTCAGGTCCTAATCTGTTTGGTGATACAGTCCATTTCATCTCTGATACTGCCTATGAAAGAAAAATGTCACAGTTTTATATGCTAGGGACTATCAGCAATTTAATCAACTCTGTTTCCTTTTCTCTCATACAAAGAAAAATTACAATGCATCTGCCATATAAAGGAAAGGTGTGTTTTGACCTTTGGGTATTTACATACTTAGAACAGATAGGCTTCTTAGACTTGAAAAACTATTTAGAGTCCTAGCTTTGACTCTCCTATTCAACTGAACACTGAAGCAAATGCTTTAAAAC